AACTCCTGAATTATGATATTGGGTCTGGGAATTAGTTTTGTCGATTTTTTTAAATTTTCAAACATTTATTTGAATACCAAAATGAAATATTGTCCATCGGAAGCGATGACCTTCTGCCACAATGTGGGCAATTGACGGATGCCTGCCTTAAAAAATTCCTCATCTTTTGAGGCTATAAATGCATCGAGCCAATTTTGGATTTCTTCAACTGAAGAGAACCGCACTCCGTCCATATGGTTTTGCATCGATCGAAACAAATGGTAGTCGGAAGGAGCCAGGTCTGGGCTATACGGGGCGTGAGCCAAAACTTCCCATCCGCTATTTTCCAAGTAGTTTTTGACCGATTTCTCAATGTGTGGCCGAGCATTGTCATGTAGGAAAATCAATGTCTCTTTTCTGGTCTCCCATTTCGTGCGTTTTTCTTTGATTGCTTGTTTCAAACGTATCAATTGTTGTCGGTAGAAAGGCCCATCGATGGTTTGACCACTTCTCAGCAGCTCATAATACACCACTCCCTCCTCATCCCACCAAATAGACAGCATTACCTTGTCGCCGTGAATTTCTTGTTTTGGCTGTGATGTTGCTGGTTGGCCGGGCTTAACATACGATGCTTTGCGCTTGGGGTTATCGTAATGAATCCATTTTTCGTCACCAGTGACAATTCGATACAGAAAACCTCTTTTTTTGTGCCTTGCGAGCAGCATTTCGCAAGTCACTAAACGCCTTTCAGCTTGCGCTGGCGTCAATTCATGTGGTACCCAATTTGACAACTTGCGAATGAAACCAAGGGCCCTTAAACGATATCCAACAGTGCTTCGGTCAACATTCAATGCTCTGGCAAGCTCATCTTGAGTTTGACTCGAATCTTCATCGAGCAATGCCTCCAATTCCGCATCTTCAAACTTTTTTGGCTGGCTGGGACGTTCCTTGTCTTCCGTGCTAAAATCACCACTTTTGAACCGTGAAAACCACCGTTCACATGTACGTTCCGATGGAGCATGCTCACCATAGGCTTCCACCAACATTCGATGCGCTTCAGCCGCAGTTTTCTTCAAATGAAAGCAAAAAATTAATGCTTGCGGGAAATGTTGCTTTTTCGGTACAAAATTTGACATATTTTAGGCGCAAAAAAAATGTTTATCCAAACTTCGATGAAATGATAGATGATGATTTTTGTAGTTTGACACTAGACCACTCATGTGAAAAAGAAAAAAGTATTGCCCGATACAACCATGCAAAGTTACGCCATCTTTTGAAAAATCGACACGATTAATTCCCAGACCCAATATGTACAATGCATGATAACATTTTCATCTCACCTTGGATGCAATATATTGTATGACCCGAAAAGAAGCGTGTTTTATGTATGCGGCTGTCAATTCATTCGATTCAATTGAACTTTGAACAAAGCAACGCAACGCCCAATCGAATAAGGTGACCGTTCGTTTGAATCAAGAGGATCATCTGGCGTTGTCAGTTTTGAATTGAAAACATCTTTTATAATCTTTGAATACCGCTTCAAAAAAAACTTCAATTGAATGAGCGGGAATGAAAGAGGGAGAGAGAAACCATAAATTGACACTATTTTGTGTCTGTGTTCCGCAATTCATTTAGTACGTTCTGACACTATTCCCATGAAAATGGCTTAGTGCGACACATTCCTCTTTCTCTCCATAAAGAACAGCACCCAAAAATATTGATAAAATCAAGCGGAAGAAAAAACTTCCTTAAAAATATTGAGAAACGTCATGAGAATAATAAAAGCAATTCATAAAATAGCCGAAACTCAGTCTCAATACCACATTTCAATGCATTTTTCCACCATTTGTGTGCATACATGCATATGTGCTTTCGATCAATCATCGAAAATAAATGAGCGAATTGAAATCGGCATCATTTTCTCCCTCTCTGCATTTTATTATTGAATGCAATCGGATAAATAAAACCGAAACTGGATAGCGCATTAAGCGTTTTCACAATTTCTACGTAATAAAATGATCTAGAGTTTGTTTTTGTTTTCATACTCATTGAGGGAGCGAGCGAGTGTGAGAAAGAGAGAGAGAGAGAGAGAGAGAGAGAAGATAAAAACCACACATCATCTCGGATGAAGGCAAACCACATGCAAATTCAGTTTTGCCATGCAATTTAATCACAGATTATTACACATTTAACAGAACCGAATACTTTTCATACATGCCCGCCACCGCGACGTCGTCCATCAAAATTCCGGCCAATTCAATTCTCTCGCATTGCGGAAAATGCGTCTAATTAAATCGGTCATTTGGGCCATATGTGTTTTTTCCCCTTATGGATTTTATTTCTTTGGCATACGATTACAAAAATAAATTGCAACGAATTGAAAACTATGAAACGCTGAGAAATGTCCAGTTTACCCCTTCAAATAGTTGAAAATGGAAAAAATTGAGATGAATACTTTGGAAAATGAGACAGAAATCGAAACGGAATTGGAACAAAATTTTGAATTCCGCCAAATTTGCAATATTATAGAAAAAAAAACTTTTCTAAGAAAAATTTTATTGAGGCTATTCAATGTCAACAACTCTTCGAATATAAAAAATCAGGAACTAAATCTCATCGAATGCAAAAAAATACAACTTAATTTATTCTTTCGAAAAATGAAAGAAAAAAACGCATGCAAATCGATTGCATGATAATAGATCGTTCATGTACATGTCTGTCTGTTTTTCAGATAATCAATCGAAACAACTTCCACACAGCCCAGAATCAAGATTTACAAGGTATTGATTTTAACGAATCACCAGAACATTCACCAACGTCGTGGCCAGCCGATTATCAAAAACGTAAATATGACGAAAAATTTCTTTAATTTTTGATCAGACATTTAATTGACCTGCACAGAGTGAGACAGTTCGAAATTTACAAAAAAAAAAAACAAAATCATTGAATCAAAGGAGAAAAACCGATGGGTGATACTATTGTTTGAAAGTACTACGCCACCTATGCCGCCAATACTTAGCAAATGATGCACAAATATATTTACTAGACGCTACACAATAAATTCTTCGGGGCGGCAGCAACAACCGTACATGGTGTATTTGTAATATTTTCAACAGCCATTACATTATAGTGTGTACGATAGTAGCACCGACTGAGAAAAACATGTTTGAATAGGGGAAGAAAAATATTGGACAGAGAACAGTCCACCCTACCATTTCTATGCATATGAAAATCTAACTTGTCGTTTATTTGTCAATTTTTCTTGTTTCTAATTTCCGTGAAATCGTTAATCGGATCGCGCGTAGTCATGCACGGATCAACCATTGACGTGAATCAAATGCAGCCGCAAGGTAAAAAGCGCCGAATGGATTGGGATGCATTGGATCTGAATGAGAATGGAAGCGGTAGCAGTGGTATTGGAGTTGTTGAATCGAAGATGCCAAATCTAGTGGCTAATGGGAAAGAATGCGAACGTAATCGCAAAAATGTCAACGGAGGTAAGTCCATCATTTTTTTGATTTAAATTCTTGTAATTTATTAAAGCAATTCGATTGATTTTGAACCCATTTTCTGCGGAATGTTTGACGTTTTATCATTGATGAACATATGCACATAATGTTTTGTAGAAAAAGGGTTCAGAATTGAATGTCGGATAATAATTCGATTCGAATTGACTAAATTCAGTTGAATTTTCTTCCTGAAACCGATAAACTGAATCATGGGTTGAGAGAAGATCCACAAAGCTCCTTCTTATCATTCTTTTTCTCGATGGTTCGTTTGTTTAGAGTGCATTTCCTGCCTTTAATATGAGTCAAACTATTTATATTCCATCCATTTTTTCCTATTCTCTTCTTCATTCCTTTGTCCCTATGGGCCAAAGCCTGTTCCCTTGAGTATTCCCCAATTGACTTGCTATTTCCCAATGAAACTTTGAAAAATTCGATGAAAAAATGTTTGTTTTCCAATTGCCGTACACGTTTTAAACAAATTTGCAAAAAAAAAACAAGAAATTACCGAGAAAATCTTCTTGACCTAGATTTTCTTAAGTAGTCAAACACTCAGCAGTATTTGCTCATTTTTCTTTAGTCCATGAACCGTTATGGAATGCTTCTAATTGATCGCCTCAATGCAAAAAGCGAAAATCTAGTGAAAAGAAAACAGCAATTCACGTCATGGACCGTGTCTGCGCATATACCGAACTAGCGTCGAAATATTAGATACGCAAATGGAGATCAGCTTTTGGCTGATTTGGTTTGGGCACCAATAAAATTTCAATCAAAATATGTTCCTGGCAAAACAAATCGCATGCGAAATATTCGAAAAACGCTATTCGCCTGACGTGATCGAATCACTTTATTTCACTCTCTCTTGTGCACACACACACACCAAGCTTTGCAGCGGTGCAATTGCGCTGTAGTTTTTCAATCGGTTTGCAAACAAATGTAGAAAAAGGCATTTTTGCGGCGAATACTCTTCAATTGCAACACTCTTCCTGAACGAGAAAAATACACGGCCAACTGAACTGAACTGAAATTTAACGCCAAACGCCATTTCTCGACGGGGCTGTACTGAGTGAAACTCAATAAACTCAAACAGCGAAAATGCGAAACCGATCAAACATCATGAGAATGACAACGACTGCAACTGCGACTGCGACGACTACGCATCATGATGATAATTCAGTTGATCGTTTTACATATATGACCGTTTATGATCGACGAACCTTGACATCAATTCGTCTCTGTGTGTCTGTTCTTTGTTTGAAAAAGTAAATCGATTCAAGGGTTTCGATACTGATAAGCAATTGATCGTACTGCAAAATTTCTCTGGAGACGTACACAGACAGGCACACAAATTTGTCTTTTTTTTCCTTGTCAGACAACAATGTTGCGTCTACGTTGTGATGGCTATTCGATTCATATCAACGGAAAACTTGTACCGATGAAGGGAAAAAAACAACAACACACAAACACTTTCCATATCTCGGCGATAAAAATGTGTTTCGAAAAGTGATGAATGACACAGAGAACTAGCGTCGAATAGCGAAAATACTCTCTTTTGAATAGTTTCCAGTTTTGTTTTGGTCTAATCATTGTTTGTTTTGTGGTTGTTCTTTTTTTTCCTTGTTCGTGTTTCGTTGCATTCTATTGCGTGCACGACTGATAACACCGAATCAGCAAGCTGACGACACTTCAGTACAAACATCATTTGAGCGCTCGCAGCGCCACGAACTCTCGTATCATTTTGTATTGACTTTTCGATAGTTCATGAGTTCGCCGTAGACTTCGTCAAAACGTGTCGTCCCTTTGCGAATCAGAGCGTGTGATATAGTCGAAGCCATTTGAGACAGAGAGACATACAAACAGTGTGCGCTGCTTTTCGGGATTTGGATGACGAGAGAGCGCGCGTATTTTGAAGCATAGGGTCGATGCTAAGGTCACACATCTCGATAGAGTACTGTGAATGTGACAAATGGAAATTTCGGCCCGTGTATTTTTTGTTGTTTCATTTCTTTTTCCATATTTTTACCAACACCATGTAGTGAGTGTGTCGTTTCGTGAGCACTTCGTATTTACTTCTCAATTCAGTCCGTTTGTGTGATTGATCTACTGTTGTTCCCGTCGATTGATCCGTTTTTCTCTCGTTCGATTCATTGTTTAGTGTGCGGTGCAGAATCATTTTTGTGAATGAATACTGTCATCCAGTCATGTCGATTCATTAAAAAAAAGAGTGACTAAAGAAATCAACGGGTCACGACAAGTGATGATGGATATAATGAAACTGACTACGGTCTTCATCTCTAAAATGGACGTACAACTAATGTCGTGAACCGATCGTTATCTACTATAAATGCACACAAAGACCCACAGAGTGGGTGAGAGAGAGAGAGAGAAAGAGAAGAAAAAGGTTCTAATTATTGCATATCGACTTCGTTTGTTTTATCATTTCGGCTTTTCCGGCGGCAATTTGTGTACGGTATGTGCAACCGATAGACTGAACCAAAATACAACGAAACTTGAACAAAAATCAATGGTCATATAATTAAAAGTGTGTTGCTGTTGTGCCATAAGGTCAGCAGGTTGTTAGCACCTTCCGAACACAATAAAAAAAAACAAACACAATTACAAATTATGCTAATTTTGTGGGCATTCCTTTGTTGGCTTGCGAAAAAATGCTGTTGTTTAACATCAATTAATGAATGAATCGAACGAAAGAGACAGACGGAACTTACACGCGCTCTGTTCAGAAAAAAAAAAACAATTTCTCAATGAATTTTTCAGCTGCGAACGATTCATCTCATTTTTATCGCTTTATTATGACTGAATTAAATCATAAAATGTGAATTAAAACCCGACCAAAATCAGTTCGTGTTTGTTCAATAAATGGAAGCAGCAAAAAAAATCATAGAGTTGCCAATAATAAAATTCATTGAGCTGAATCGACAGAATAACAATGAATCAAAGCCGAAAATGAGGAGTTTTATGAAAGGCTTGTGATGAGACAAAAAAAACTGACAACAGCAGCAACCATTTAGCTGGTCGGAATGTGTCAATAAAGGAGTAAAATGTGCTAAACTTTTGTTTTATCGGTAAAATAAAGTGAATCGGATATAATAATTATTGTGTCGCTTATTGAAGCAGTGCAATTAGATTATTTGGTCGTGATTGAGCGAACATTTCATTGATTGAACGACGAGAAGGAGTAAAAACAAACGATGACGAATAGAATACAAGGAAATTCCATCACAATTTGATTAAAGATTTAAATGAATGAGCAGCCCTTCTAATTTGTTTGTATATGAGTAAGAAAAAAAAGGTGGCAACATTTTTGGCGGCTCACTTCATACACACACATACACACACACACACACACACACACACACACGCAGAAGCGTCAAATAGAATTTTTGCCGGGCGGTAACTCAATCAGTCACAAACGAAATTTTTGACGTGACTGTTAATTGGTTAGCCGTATAGGTTGTCGTGTGTGGAGGATGCAGAATTTCTCAAATTTCCTCAATCACATCGAAAATAAGCGACCATGCCATGGATTCAGTAGCCCAAACAACAATCAACATTCCGTCGTTGGTTCAACAACTAAACACCAGCACAACGGCGACGGCGGCGATAACAACAACATTCACACCAGTGACAATAACCTTACATATGCCAATTCTAGCAGCAACTTAACGAATTCAAACGGTTTGTATGCGCTTCGATGTCAACCACTAATGACTTGCGATGCAAATGCTGCCCAATTGAGATATGCTTGGGCTATAAGTCAAAACAATCAATTCTTTGCTCGATGACGAACATTATCTGTTTTATGCATCTCTTATTCTCTCCCCTTCAACGCTCAATTTTGCTCCCATTTCTTCTCTCTTTCGTTTGTTAACTCGAACGTCTTATTGTTTCAATTGGCTTCATTAATCGTGCATTGCAGCGTGTCGCGTTTTCTTTCAAGGTTTCGATCGGATCAACACACACACACACACACAAAATGTACACCCATCAAGCAATCGCATCATCAATCTGCCCATAATTGAAATGTGATTGAATGCGGCAGCTGATTCAGTTTATTGCGTTTCGAAAAAATCTCCGTTTCAAATGTCATTTTATATATATATATAGGGTATCATTGAATTCTTATATTGTTCTCTTTCTCTTTTCTCGTGCTCGCCCCACTTGTGCTCTCTTTGCAGCTCGGCTCGGTTGGACGGACGATATTGATTTTGATTACAATGGCGATTTAACCAACAATTCATATTTGAATAAGTATGTCTTTTTTTTATTTCTATCGAAATTGGGTGTGTTTTTTGAAAGGGGAAAAATTCAGAAGAAAAAAAAAGAAAAAAAAAACTTAAAAAATTCGCAATATCGAAAATTCTCACAAGCATCGACTAATCTGTATCTTTCATTATTTCAGTGATTCTTTCTTATCATTATCATCGGCTTTGACTGTGTTAAAGCAGGAGATACCATCACCGTTTGGCAATGATCATGGCAAAAAGATTGTTAAGGGATCGCCGATGAGCAAGGAGCAAGTGGACGAAATCTCTCAAATTGAGCAGGTAGCAAATGGTGGTAAAAATGGTAACAACAACACCACCGCAAATAACAACAATACCACCAACGGAACGGTCAATAGCAACAACAACAACACGAACGCCGTTGGCGGTGCCAACAATGCCAACAACATGGCATGCCATTTGAATGGTAACAGCAATAGCAGTGCATCCAACGATCTAGTCAACTGTTTGGATAGCGTTGGCCAAAATCAATCGTCACCAAATGATCCAAATGACGAGCGCAACGATTCGAACAACCTGAGTATGTGTCAGATCGAAAATGTTCCTCATATGTGCGTATCAAAAAATTGAAACTGTTTTTTTTCCTTCGTTGCAGAAGCAATCAACGGTCAAACAAAGGAGGAAAAATCCTCTGAAGAATCCAAGTAAGATCATCGTCAATTACATTTTAAAAATTCATAGTCTCTTCCTCTCTAAAGTCCGCAATAAGAGTTAAAACACACCAAATCACATTTAAATTGAATTGATTCGAGACGAACCACAACAACAGTAGCAATAAAGCCCGTGAAATGACGCGCGCGACAGTGCGACATAGACGCTAAAATGTCGAGCATATTCAACAAACGCGTGTTATTATTCAATTGAGTTTAAATGAGATCGATGCATTTAACCATTTTGAGTTTAATCAACCGAAATATTTGTCCGCTGCTTGTGGAATGGTGGCTGTGAACCATATTCAAATCATTCGTGACAGCGAAGTAGAGATGTAGCGAGAGAGAGAGAGAGAGAAAAATAATGACAACCGCTCAATCTACGTCATCGAATCAATGGACAATAGACAATGGAAATTTTACACAATTGAGAAAATCGCAAGAGCGAGCGCCCGCAAATGTGCTACCGCACAACAATATGCCCAATGCGATGTTTTGACAAATTCCAGCCACAAATGACCAAATAGTTACAGTTTCGAAAGAGGAAATTAAAATTAATTACGAATTAAAACAGTTGGCTGTTTGTGACGCCAATTACTTCGGCAGTCATCATATTTTTTTTTCGTTTTTTGTTGATTTTTTTTTCATTATTATTTATGCAATAGATAAAGAAGAACGCGTGCGAGATGTGTTCTTACATATGGTCATACACATCACGCTTTTGGTTCGACTGTATCGCGCTTGTATCTAACCGATCGACACATTTGTGTGAAAACAAGAAAATTAAATCTAATTGAGGTCCATTGTCATGATATTATAAAACGGTTTTTATTTTCTCTCTTCAGAAATATGTGTATCACAGCCACTGTCGATCTCTCTCCCCTTCTCTCTCTCTCTCTCTCTCTCTCTCTCTCTCTCTGTGTGTGTATGTGTGTCTCCATCGCTCTCAGCTCGATCATTTTGTCACACACAGAAATGTCCTAACCGATTACTACTGTGTCGAGCCGCAACCGGACCAAACTGACACAAACCAAATTTATTAATCGCACATTTATCGACCGCCTGTCTCTCTGTCCATAAAAGACACTGTGTGTCGGATTTGAACTTTGCTCGATCCCCGCAAACCAATTGCGACACAAGGACACTTTTCGTACAGAAATTCTCAAGCAAGGAATTAAGCATTTCCGTAATTTAAACAGACAACAACAAAAAACCAACAACTAACACGTGATTTTCAGATGACTTTTTTTTTATTACTGAGTCATTAGAGTCATGCTGACTCTTGGACTCATGGATTTTCGAGTGATGAGTCGATTTAATGTTAGAACGTAGAATTTTTGAGGCTTTTAAAGACTTTCTGCTTCTTTTTCTTCGCAATTTTAATTGAGACTTTCTTAAATTAAAAATATAGGTCTGTTTCTGCACAGAAAAATGCACATTTTAAAGGAACAAAAATTCTTTTCGAAAGACAATTCTTTGTTTATGGAAAAACTAATTTCAAATACCTTTGAATTTGAAGAAAAAATACTTAGAAGGTCATCGAAAATCGAGAAAAAATCGAAGAAAATATAAAAAAAAAGGAAAAATGGAGAAAAAAAATGAACGATATTTGAAAAAGCCAAAAAAAAATCTATCATAATTGAGATAGTTTGCCAAAAATTGAGAAATTTTGAAAAAAAAGGCAGTGAATCAAAAAAGAAAGTGGAAAAGATTAGCAGAGAGACACAAATACAGACTAAAAGCATAAATTTCAATCGTATTTCGACCATGAAAATGCATCAAGAAGGAAAAAACGCTTGAAAGAACGTGTGAAGGCTTTATACGAGGGGGAAATCACTTAAAAGTTATTGAAATGTCACAAGTAATTGAGGTAGATGTCATTGAGACATCTTGGACATAGTTTGGTTATGTCTGTTCGCCATAAACCACATACCCGAAGTAATCTTGGATAAATAAGTAATGACTAATAAGTAATGATATAAAATGAAAATCGGAAAATATAGTTTGGTGTGGGCTCGATTGCGTTTTTTTTTTTGCGGCTTGACTCAAAAGAAATTGGTATAGAATTTATTTTATACCTTCGAAATACTCAACTAAAACTTACTTCAAGCTCAATTTTATATTTTTTGGTATTTCAAAACCAATGTTTAACAATGTCAAACTTTTACATAAACGTCTAATTACTTTCGTAATTTACTAAAGTAATAGCGTACCAAAAAGTAATAGAAAAAGTAATTGAAAAGTAATTCAAAGAGTGATTTCTCCCCCGGTTTTATACCATTTGTGCTTTTTGTAATAATATGGAGCCGCCATGATTATTTACCAATCAATAGTACTGAAGTACAGTGTATTTGAGTACGTACCTTCTCCACTACTGCTTGAAAGCACAACGGCATGAAAATCTGCAAGAATTTACGCCTCGTTCTTTCACATAGACATAGACACAATTTTGAAGAATCTTAAAAAAAAATCGACAAATAAACGATTTTCAACCTTTATCTAATGCCACATTAAAAATTGTTTCTGCAGATTTCAATATGTGTTGGCTGCAGCTACATCGATTGCAACGAAAAACAACGAAGAGACCATCACATATTTGAATCAAGGTCAGAGCTACGAGATCAAGCTCAAGAAATTGGGTGATTTAACTGCTTATCGTGGGAAAATTTTGAAGGTAAACGCAAAATTCTTCGAAAAAATCAAAAAAAAAATTTGAAGAAAAAGTTTTTCTAAAAAACTTCGGAAAAAGACACGCAAAATGAAACAAAAAAATCGTTAAGTAATACTGAAAGAGTAAAAATGATTTTGTTTTTACATTGTATTGCAGAGTGTGATCAAAATATGTTTTCACGAGCGTCGCCTTCAGTACATGGAACGTGAACAGATGCATTTGTGGCAAGCATCGCGTCCGGGTGAGCGTATCATTGAAATCGATGTACCGTTATCGTATGGTTTGTGTCATGTTACACAGCCGCACAATTCCAGTCTCTTGAATGTGGTGGAAGTGTTGTGGGATCCGATGAAAGAGGTCGGTGTTTACATCAAAATCAATTGCATTTCAACGGAATTCACACCGAAAAAGCATGGCGGCGAAAAAGGTGTACCGTTTCGTATTCAAATCGAAACCTATTTGGAGAATACGATGAATGGTAATGGAAACGGTATAAATAATAATATCACTGGTGCCATCGCTGATAATACGAAGGCAATCCATGCTGCTGCCTGTCAGATTAAGGTGTTTAAATTGAAGGGAGCCGATCGCAAGCACAAACAGGATCGAGAAAAGATTCAAAAGCGGCCAGCTGCCGAAAAGGAGAAATACCAACCGAGCTACGAATGCACCATCCTCAATGACATCCCAAATGATCTTGTGAATGCCAATACCTACAGCCCGGAACAGTAAATGGAAAATTCTTTTGATCCCTTTAGTTGAAGTCAATTTTTGATCAGATGGTGTGTTTATGTGCTAAAATGCACTGAGAATTCACCATCTGGCCAGAAATAGTTAAAGAAAAACGTTTTACTTGTTTAGTTATTTGCTAGAAAATCGTTTTGGTTTCAATTAAATCTTGATTGAAATCTAAACTTAGAAAAAAAAAATGTTATTCCAAACAATTGAAACGTTCATTCGGAACCTTTTGTTAAACTCATTTCCTTTGAGTTTTGAATGAAAATTCAACTCAACAAACGTGATTCCTTTTCAGTATTCGAGGATCTAGCTCGCCATTGATGTCAAACTCACCGATCCACATGACCAAATTCGATGGTCTATTCTCGACTGGCAATAGCAATGGCGGAACTGGCAATCCGATTGGCATCAACAGCGTTTCGTCGACCAATTCAAATGTTAAAATTATGGATCAAAATATTTTGTCGCCATCAACACCACAACAAGCCATCATCGATAGCGACGAATACAACAGCTCAAGTGGTGGTTTCATTTCAACACCGTTGAACATTTCCAAAGATGCAACGCCATTAATTCTGGCTCAATGGCTAAACATGCATCGTCTTGGCCAATACGTTTCAACATTCGCCCAATTCTCCGGCGCCGATCTATTTCGCATGTCCAAAGAGGATTTGGTGCAGATTTGCGGATTGGCCGATGGCATTCGTCTATACAATACACTTCATTCGAAGTAAGTTTTCTCTCTTAGACTGTTTCTCGATCTCGACCGAAAGTTGTATTCATTATTCGTGTTCGATGCCATTGAATCAATAGCTGACAAACGAAATTCGTGTCATGAATAAATAAATTTAAATGTGATTTCCATTCATGCTTCCTCTTTGCAGAGCAATCGCACCACGTCTCACGATCTACGTGAGTTCTGATGGCAGCTCATATCATGCCATTTATCTGCATGCAAACACGGCTAAGGAGCTCATTCAAAAGATTGTCAAATTGCCTGGATTCTCCGATTGTTTGGCAAATGCATCGGCAAATGTGGAAAACAATCTCTTCTCGGGATGGAGTAAGTGAATAAAAAATATAGTTTTCAATTCTTTTCACTTTTCCATCAATTTTCAATTAATTTTATTTTTACTGACGCAATTTGTGACGATTTTTTAATTTTTGTTGTTGTTAAATTTTCATTCAATCTTATTCAATTATCCAACCTTTGCTAGAAAGAGATCGTGGTTGTTTTATTGAAGCATGCGTTTGAATAAAAATAATTTAATGGAAATTCTTGTTAATTTTTCGTGCAAAATGTAAAATTTTCAAAATTCAACGATTTTTTGTTCGAAAGTCAAGTTTTCATTGAATTAAAGGTGTTGAACTTTGTTTTTAGTCTTATTTGAATTTTCTGCCCTGGGACTGACTTTCGAAAATAGAATCCAGAAAATGCTTTGAATAAAATTTGTCCAAAAATATAATTTTTTATCTATAGCCTAGTTTACAGTTCACCATACGAAAAAAAATAAATCTGTCATTTTGCATTGATTTTCAGGTACCTAAACCGGCCATGCGAAAAAAATATTTGGTATTCCTCACAATATTTTTTGCATGCAAAACAGTTGCCGGTCCATTCTTCTGCATGCAAAAAATATTGTGAGGAATACCAAATATTTTTTTCGCATGGCCAGGTTAGATACCTAAAAATTAATGCAAGATGACATGTTCATTTTTTTCGCATGGTGAACTGTAAACTAGGCTTATTTCAAAAATATTCCAAAAAAAATGATTTCAACTAAAACAAAAATGCATTTCTCCTACTTCTCTCCTTAGATTTGCAATCGAAATATTCGGGAAGCGCATCGAATTTGTGTGATTCAACGAAGTTCAGTGTATACATAAATGGGCCGGCTGGCATTCACGTTTTTGTGACGGATGAGGTATTGAGTAACATCAAAGATGAGAGCCTCTTCACGTTGGACGTGCAAAATAATAAAGTAATCATGAAGATTGTCTACAAAAATGAAATTTAAAAAACAACGAGAGCGACGACCCTGAATGATGAAAGAAGATAAAAAAAAACAACAGCTAAACAAACAAAAAATCAACACATAGAATCTAACATCGCTCAATGAAATTCGAATGACGCTATTTTGGCACGGAGATGATAACAAGAGAGGAAACAAGAAGAACGCGGAATTTGAAGAAAAAAAATCAACATGAAACAAAAACAAAACAAAAAACACAAACACACAACAGTTTTTAATTGAAATCGCATTATAATCATTCATTTCTATTTCCAGTAGAGTTTAGGAAACAGCATATTCAGAAAAAAAAACAAAAGAAAAAAAACAAAAAAAAAACACAATGGAATTATTTAGTGTTTAATTTCGCCTAGTGTTTGGCACTGGTCCAGCTATGCGCATCATACATAACAAATCTAGTATAATAAACAAAATTTGTGTGGGAGATTTATAGGTTAATTTTCTTTTTTGGCTTATTTTTTTTGTCCAAAACAAACATAGAACTAATCGTATTCGTTTTTTTTTTTCCAAATTTTCTATAACATTTTGTTTTGAATTCACTTTTTTCAGTTTCTTTCCCATTGATTATATAGTAGGTACATGAAAAATGCTTAATCGATAATAATTACAAACGATTTTTATTTTTGATTTTTTTCTTTGCTAAATAAACTACTTTCATATGATATTATGCATTTTATGCTTTTAGATGGGAAAAAATATAAATTTTACGTAATTTGAGAAGGCTACCGAAACAATTATTCTGGTCTGATAATCGAATTGAAACAACTATTTTTATTTAATAATCAGCAATTGCGTTGACATTTCAAATTCGAACAAAAAATACACCCGCATGCATGCTGAGGCCTTTGGAGTGGTGCACACACACACACGTTACAATACTTTTTTTTCGTCTTGATATATATTAATAGATTAGATATGAAAATATTTACACCGACTCTAGCCTTCTGTTCAATTCGATTGCAATACGAAAAACACAATAAGAAATTGATGGAGAAATTACATCACGTTCATATACAATACTCATTCATCAAAATCGAACTCGATCAAAATAGGCGTTTTTCATCAATTTTTTTCTCGTATTGATACACATTTAATAGTCCCAAATCGTCAATAACCGCTTTCTTGAGAGGAAGAGATATTCGACAAATATGATTTTTTGCCCATTTTTCTCAATTGGGAAATTAATTCCCATAAAAAAACGACATCAAAAATGTGCTCAAAATGTTCCCCGCATTAGTATGGTTCACACCAACTTGACATAAAATTTGTGCTCATTTTTGGTGTGAGTCAGATTTTAACACCAAAAAAAAAAACTCCATACAAAACAAGCACATTGTATATGTGGATTTTTTATGGGTTAATTGAATGCCATTAAAACGGATAGCAAAAATGATTCCAAGAAAAACTATCAAATCGGTTCATGGCGTTTCAGAGATTTTATTATACAAATTTTAGCACAAAAAAGATTTTCCTAGCTACAATTCGAGTTGTTATCAAGAAAATGTCCAGTATAGGGTGCAGTCACACTTGAAAACATGGTTCAAGATTCATTCGTAATTTTCGTTTGGTTAACAAAAAAGAACTTTTTTGCGCGATGAGAATGTAAAAATCCCTTTGGAAATATTCAAACTTAGCTAACTGTACCAAAAATAAATATTAACTGATGAATTTTCACCAAAAAATAACTGGGGCCATACAAAAAGAATTTCATTCTCAGGGATAACACATAGTACCTTTCTGATTTGACTATCTTGATCCGTTTCTTTCAACCAAGAACTCACTTAGATTGTCTTGACTTCGAGAGAGTCAATATTTCTAATTTCATCGAAACACTTAGAAAATTTTAATTCGATAATAATGATTCGGTTCTAATTTTTCGTATGAAATTCTTCAAGGACCCGATGATTCTGGTCTGTTTTACTTCTGGTCTTTTTAATCTAGCCTGTTTTTAATCATCCGTGTCAATTACGAATTCAATTCTTCTGGCTCATTTCACGTCTGTCACACGTAAGCTCGATTAAAAGCAGAAATATGGAGGAAGAAGGAAAATATGGATTTTATCTTGTCCTCTTTCTGAATGTTGAAAGGGCAAGATATATGTGAAAAAAGAGTGACTGTGAGTCCTGAATTCTCAAAAAAGTGAATACCTTGAGTAAGACATTGAAAAAGTGTTTTAACCACTAACTTTTCATTCAAACATCCAAAAATCCTGTTCAAACATCCGACCAACCATCCAACATTCGGCGCAGTAATGATGCATCACTGATGAACTGGAAGCTGGTGCCATAATATGTATAATGAAAAAAAGAAAGAATATGAATGTGTACAGTGTACACCAGACATTATGTACAGAAGAAGATTTCCGTAACTTTGATGGGCGTATTTTGTCCGCGAGCCATTTTTAGTTGATATCCTGAATAAATGGTCCGAGATTTTTTCATGCTCACGCTTTTTTCATACGCAAGTTTCCTTGTGAATGTACAAATTCGGTTTCTCCATGAGTATTTAGTGCAGTTTAACATTCAATCCGTTTCAGATTCTTCTGCTGAATATTCTGACAAGTCTTTTTCCAAAGTCAATTTCCGAATTTCGGTTCAATCTCTCCCCACTCCATTGAATATGTCTTTCGTCTCTTTCCCAAACACCGAAAAAAACCTCAAAAGAAAGAATTGAACAATGCAAAATTTATACAATAGATATTTTTCCATCAACGAAGAAGAAAAAAATTGCATACTTTTGATAGAGAAGTAAAACCACAAAATAATTCTAAACTTGAACAAGAGCACATTGTTATAGTATATAGTAAATAACAATAGCGGCTTTACCATATATATACATATATTTAATGATTTCTCTGAAAATTTAGATATAAAAAAATTGAAAAAAAAAAACGCCACACATTGTTGAACCTGATTATTTAGATTATTATGGTAGTATAAATGATTTTGTAATACAACTAGTTGAAACCAATAAAAAAAAATACTTGTAACCAGCTAATGTTTTGCAATTTTAATGAAAAAGCTCTCTTTAATTCCATTACTTAAAAATAAGCTCATTTTCATCCTTGGACCAATTCATTTTGCCAATCTGTTCGAATGAATTTTTATTCAATTGAATGAATAATGACTAAGTGAGGTAAGTGAATCGATGAATAAATATTTTAGCGAGAAATAATGACAAAAATATCGAAGAAAGAAATGATTGAATCAATTGTTTATTTTAAAATTGAAACATTTCTTTATACACAATTTGGTCAGATATTTTTTCCATATTCTTTGTTCAAAAATATCTGGCAATGTGAAAATAAAATCGGTTGAAACTGAAAAAATAATTCAAAAATCAACGAAAATGTCATGTCAATGTAGACAACGAATGAACGAGCCTTATCAATTGTGACGGTGATCGTGACAGTCGCATTTTTTTACATTCAGCTTTGAACACGACAATTTGACACATTGGCCGCTCCAATACATACACGACAATGCGGGGATAATACACGCATTCTTTTGCCACAAACACATGACCCTGCACATGTTGACGTTTCAAATTGGAACCAATTTCGAATTGGACGAAAAACCATCACATATGTTTTTTTTTGGATACGTGCAAAATACAATTTCGCACGCAATACACATGATCTTTTTGTGTGATGGGAGACCACATACGGCAAATTAAATGGTGGGAAAATTGGATGTACATGATTTGGTACGGTATGGTCATTCCGATTCTGTTTTTTTTAGCAAATAAAGAATTGATTTTTGAATGAATTTTCTGATGTTTTGTACACAGAATCGCGATCTCTATATTTGTAACTTCGCTGTTTCACTTGAAAAAGAATCAATTGCAATTTTAATAAGAGAAAAAGAGAAAAAAAACTCGTAAAAAATCGAAAAAAATTGATTCTTTTAAAATAAAAAATTGAAAACAAAAATTCCGGCTCAAAATTTTGTTTGTAAACAAATTACAAAAATTGCGTAGCCTCACCTCACATAGACGCGAATAGTCCAAAGAGCAGGCATCTCTCTTTCTCTTTATTTTCTCTTCCCTTCTCTCTTATCTCTCTCGCTCACTCAAATAATTTTTATTTTTCAAAAAAAGAATACAAGTATTTTCGTAACTAGCCGGTTTCAACGAGCTAATGCTAGTTAAATTCATTCACGACACACAATCGTGTTAAGCATTCGATTCATACAGTATATATATATATTACAATATCCATACGAATCAGATTTTTCGCTCATCGGCACCAAAAAGCCATACTCAAACACTTGTATATTGTGTATTGTGTGTGATACGGGGGCTCTCATTCACTTTTACACAACACAAAAATTCTTGGTGCGCGCGGCGAAACCGTTCAATCCGTATTCAATCAACAGTACATATATGCGCCATACACACACATACAGCGACACACACGCGAACTGTTCTGTCTTCGTGTGACATTCATATTGGGCACCGTTTATTTTTCTCTCGATGCATAACAATCTCTCTTTCATATTCAAATATTAAAAATAAGAACGAAACAAACGAAAATACACTGTACTGATTGAGTGTGGTTGTCGCAATAAAAAAAAATCGTTTTCATCTAATTGGTTAAATTGATTTTGAGAGCAGCCGAAAAAAAAAATAAACGTCTAATACGGTGTCCTATAGACTGTGTTATTTTGTAGGAATAAAAAAAAGTGCTCCGTTCATAAGGAGAAAAGGAAAAAGGAGAGAAAAAAAATTGCATAAAACGTCGACCGAAAAAGAAGAAGAGCCACATACAGAATTTATTGACTTTTGTTGGTGAACATCGAGTTGGTGACTGTTGTAAGTGTGAGAAAAAAAAAGCGGAACCGATTCAGCAACGTATCGAACGAAAAAGTTTGACTGAAAACTGTCAGATCATACGATGTGAATGATTAATTCGTGTATGCACTAAGCAATCGATAGCGCATATTTTTTTCCATTTGATTTTACTCTTAGTTCCTCTTCACAAACAAACCGTGAATGAATCGATCGGTGTGAGTATATATGCAATTTTCATGTGCAAAAAGCGAGAACTACAGAAGAAAAAAGCAAAAAATCATCGGTCATAAGAGCTTGAACGAAGGGTATAGATATCCAAAGTAGTGCAAATCATCAGGCTCATAAACCAGAGCCCAGTGCGAATCAATTTCGTGAATAAGTGAACGAGCGAGCGAGTGAGCGCGCGACACGCCGGTCACACCGATATATAATTAAACGAGCTGCTATTTTTCTTTCTTCTCGTTCTTCATCATCATCATCGTCTCGTTCTCGGGTCGGTCGTGATATTCGTTTGCGGTGTGTGATCGGTCGTCTCTGTTTTTCTGCTGCATTCCTTTTCAAACCGAGACAAACGAAGCAGCGCGTTTTTTTTTTCTTCTGTTCATTCAATTTCGGTGTGTGGTGTCGACACCGATGCGGTTTCAAGTGAATCCGACTCTATTCAAAATACATACCATTTTTTTCGTTCGCCTGAACTAAATACACCGACCGCGAGCCGAACGAGCAAAAGAGGAAAAGAAATAAACGAACGAATAGTTCTATCTTGTTTTTATTGTGTTTTTGTTGCTGTTGATTTTGGTGTGAAGTGCGCGGCAGCGGCGGCGGCGACGACGACGGCAGCGTTGACAGTGTCTGTGTGCGTATCGTGTTGGTTTTCCGTGTACGTATGGACTTAAGACAGACATACAAAGTGTAAAGTGCAAAATCGGGAAAAGAAGAGCAACGAATGAAACTAAACACACAATTTGATTCCAAGAGAGCGCAACATATTTACAAAACCGAGACACCAAAACGGTACGGGCAAAATAGTCGAAACGGATAGTGATTAGAAGGAAAACCAAGAGAAATATAACAAGAGAGTGAGAAGAAAACACATACACACGCGATTTGCTTATCACCGGTCACCACAAATCAATATACACAAACTGTAAAAAAAGACATTGACAAAAAAAAAGAAACGTTCAACGAAAAATCAACACAAGAATCGTGCTTCCTTTCTCTTTTTGTGGACTTTTTTTTCTGCCTTATTGCGGCGTTTGACAGCAGCAACCAGACGTTGACCGATGGCCAACCAACAAAACTAAAATCGTTTCAATCAACAAATTCAGATTGGGAAAAAAAATCGGTTCAATGCAACATTTGAACTAAAAAAAATCGTTTCCGCCAATCGGCAAACTGTAAAAAGATCATTTTCAAAAGCAACCAGCAAAAAGTCAGAATTTTTTTTTTTCAAAAAAGTGAACTAAAAAAAACGACTCGGCCATTTCACCGGCATTTTGCATCAATCAAATCGATTTTCAGTGTTTCAGTGTGTGTCGATCTGTGTGTAGAATTTGCGCTACAATCTGTTTTCATCGATGCGTCGATCGAAACATTAATTCACGAACCGAATCGAACGAGTGAGAGAGAGAGAGAGAGAGAGAGAGAGCGAAAAAGACAACGAAAGCGGCGGTGGCGGCAACGTTATGTACAACTAAGAATCAGCATTATGGTTAATCGAAAACAGAATCCACTTGCAATCGTGTCGTGACAAATGAAAGCAAAATAAACAGGCCACATCAGTGACAGTAGTTGAAAAAAAAAAAAAACAATAATAACAATAAAAACGGCCACCACTACCACTACCACAACCATAACCACACCAACAATAAATATTATAAATAAATCTGTTTTCGGTTGGAACCAATTCCACCGGATTGACAAAGTCATAGAAGTGAAAGAAAAAAAAGGAGTCGCGAATCGTTGACTTTTTTTCGTGTTGAGTTGTTATTTTCCTCGCCTTATACCCATACACTTTTTTTTTGTTCGGTTGATGCATTGCCGCTAAATAAAAGCGGTGTTTTAATTTCTTCTGCATTCGTGTACGGTATTCCGAATGAAATTTTGTGTGTGTTTTGATTGTTCGGCTTGGAAATTACTTCTTGGTTAATTTCTTTGTGTTTTTTTTTGCCTTCTTCGTGTGTATATGTGCGAACAATCATTTTTTTTTGCTGCCATTCGTCATCAATATTTTGACATATGTGAAATAGAATAATCATTTATCGGTCGATACCGGGCGCATAGACACAAACCAACAACTTTTTTCTTTCTGGTTCGAAGAGAAGAGAGACAACAGCAAAAAAATCGAAACGTATAGTTGTCACTTGCGAAAAGACTGTGAAAAGATAAATTGTGTGATATATTTAACGAGGTAAAGTGAGCGATAGATACGCAGCAAACATGATAGATACAGCCGATCTGCAGGCATTTCTTGAGAAAATTCAAGGAGGCACCATTCCAGTGGACTTACTGAAAATTGGACAAGCACATTATGCACAATATGCAAATGCAGGTACGATGCTCGTTGGTTTTTTTTTCTTCTTCTTTGCACAACATTTTGTGTTCATTCTTCATTGTAAGCCGACAACGACGACGTCGTCGTCGTCGTCATCATCGGTGAAAAGAGCGTAAGAGAGATAAAAAGAAAGAGAGACAGAGAGATGGAAAGAAGAAATGCGTTTTTATGCAGCTCCAATTTGAGATAGAAAATACTCATAGTCCATTACAGCCACTTCATTTCGACCGCAACCATGTATTCGTTCCATCCACTTACACGTACACACTAACAGCCATAACAAACATGCACAACAATCGACCGCACCGCAAACATACACTTTGCTCTTCGTTCCTCTTTCGTTTTGACACATTCAACCGTAACAAAGTTAGGTTAGGTTATTTTTTGCACACACCAACTTCTTTTTCATATGTGCTCACTCACTCGTTCTCGCTCTCTGTGTGTATCTCTCATTGTAGTTGTCGCCACTATCTACTTCCAATTTGATTTCAAATTCGATTCTTTTTTCGCCGCCACACGATTTTTTTCCGGTTAAGAATGAGTTTTTGTTTAGAAAATATGACGATAATGACCATTTGTATAGACGATCCCAATTTGATTGGACTGAATTATTTTGATGATACTTATCATTTTTATCTCTTTCATTTATTTGTGTTCACAGCATCGAAAAATAAATACAACAACAGTCATCATGGAAAATTTCGAATTGCACTTGATATCGAAGACTGTCTGGACCGGTTCTATGGCGGTTATTACTCAGGTGAGAGGGAAATATTTATTTCATTCATATTTCATTGACAAATATGTTTTTTTCTGAAATTCTTCGATATTTTTACGATTTTTACGGTGTATTTCTTGATATTTTCGAACATTTTTTCCTTGTTTTATAATATTCTTTTTCATTGAAAGAAAAATTGAATAGAAGAATAATATATGAAAGTTTGAAATAAAATCAAGCCCAGTTGAATATGACTTTTTATTCACCCATCTTTGTTCATCTGGTTCGTTTCCGGCTTATCATCTGGTCAAAAATGTATTAAACATTGCAATGAATTTGAATTGCAAGTTGAAAATTAATTGGGAATTTGTCAATTCTATTGAAAAAGAATTCGAAGAGGAATTGAAAAAAAGAACAAATTTCGAAAATTGAGGAAAAAATCGATTTAATCTCATTATTATTAGTAATTATTTAATTTATTAAATAAAAACAAAACAAGTGAATCGATGCCCAAAAGAAACTAAATTAATCCCAAATGTACGATTTAGATTGGGCGTGCGGTGGTCAATGGAATCGTGCCTATCAATTTGTTCGATTGTTGGTCGATGCATTCAATGCAGCGCACATTGAATTGATTGCATTTTTCGATGGTACGCTGAAAGAGAATAAGAAAACGCATCCGGATCGTGTGGAAATTCGCCAAAAGACCATATCCGTATTGAAGCATATACGAATGATTGGAACGCCACCGCCGAAAATTTGGTGGATTCCACCGTCTGGTCTTCGAACATGTTTACGTAATGCTCTACGCAGTATGAATGTTATTGTGGTGAGTATTTTGTGGGTGTGTGCGTCAGTTTTGCTTTTGAATTGTGGGCGTTTGAAGAATTTCTGCAATTGACACTTTTGTGTTAAATTCATAAGATTTGGTTATGTCCCGTTTAAAACCTCTTTTTCTTTTGCCAAAATCATTTTTTCGACAAAAATAACTCAATTACCGTTTTTTTTTCTCCGACCAGGTTCAAACGGTATACGACCATACAATGGAATTAATCGACTATTTTCACGAATACAAATTGGATGGCATTCTTGGTTTGAATGCGGACTATGTGATTGCAAACACATCCAAATATTATAGTTCTCATGATCTTCGGCTGTCATACAAAGGTGCATTGGAGACGAAAGAGTATTTGGTCTCGAAATTGCTGTCGAATTTGAGCTTAACACCCGATCATCTGCCGTATATGGCGGTTTTCCTTGGCGGCTACATTCTCATCGATGAAACGATGCTGCGTGCGATTTATAAGAAGATTAGCATTGATTTTACCACCGATTTTGAGGGACGCATTCGAAAATTGGCGGAAATCATCCGTAATTCACCAACCAACGACATCGATGAGTTTATTCGTCATTTGGGATTGGAAGAATGGGCCAAAGAACTCAAGGAATCCGTTGAATATTTCAAGGTAATTTTTGGACATGTTTTTCTTCATCGCATTTCATTTTATAAATTTGAGCCAGAACATTTGGGATTTAGCATTCATGAATAACTACAGTCATTTGATTTCGCAGTTTCAATTCGTTCGATTTTTAAAATGTAAATTTCTTCTTCCAGCGAACGGCCCGTTTCTCTACCAGTAAAAAGTTCTTTTCGGGCAAGCGAAAGGTAGTGATTGAAATTCAGCGTATCAATGAAAACACACCGATGGCACCGTTAGCATCTGAGACAAGCGAGGGTGATGAAATTGCCCGAAAAATACTGCAAGACGTAAGCAGTTTGGTGGATGATGCCGAAACGGTAAACGTTGCATCGGCTGAGGCATCGACAAGTGCTGAAACGGGTGCAGCTGGAACCAGTGATAACAATCAAAACAAAGCGAATGGAAGTCAAGGTGGTGCGGTAAAAAAGTCATCGACTTTTGTGTATGCATTGCCGGGTGAAGTGCTGAAGACATCATTGAATCGCCATCAACGCGGTATCATGGATTCGCGCATTTACCAATTGCTGACCAAAAAAGAAATCATCCTACCTCAGGTGCGATATCACATTCGAAGTCACATTTAGTGTTTTAAAATGACTTTCAAAAGGAAATGAAGGAATTTACTAACCGTTTCAATTGAATCAATTTTATTTCGATAATCGTTTGACTATTAATTTCCATAGATTTTAGAGGATGAGCAATACCGTGAAATCCCATCGATTCATCTGTTTTATCGTCCAGCTCGTCAGATGATCTATGCGATTCTCTTCAATTTATACCATCAGAAATATTTGTGTTCAAAAACGTTGGGCGGTCAAGCCAAAGATAAATCAATGGCCGCCAATCGTTCGTCATCGTCGTCGTCATCTGCATCAATTGTGCCCGATGTGCTGGTGTCCGAATGGATGTGGTCACCACAAAATGAGTACAAGAAAGCCGATCAAGTGGCAGCTGTACAATTACCTTGGGCAGTGCCCACCATTCAACGGTGAGTGTTAATGGATGACGCAATACGGTTTGCAATTGGCCATAGAATATCGTCTCGAATTGGCTTGCAATGAATGGTTCTCATGGTTATTGTCTTGTTTTCAGTTTATGGTTTGGTATGGCATTCGAGGATAAGCAGCGTCGTATGAAGGCATTTTTAACCGTGATGCGGTCCGATACTCCGTTAATGTTAAATCGATCCTATGTGCCACAGCATATGTTGGTGTTAGCCTGCGTTTTGCGCTACATCATTACCAGTCCGGAGCGAAAAATTCTCAGCCGCTTGGAGCTGGATGCATTTTTGGCCACCGCCTTTTCGCCCGACATCAATAACGTAGATTTTACACAAGAACTTGTGGTACGTATCGTGAGACAGAGACAATTTGATTTTTGCTATCGGAAAGACCATTCGATGTGAATGAACTTTATTTTGTTCGAAAAAAATACAAATGTTGTGCTTCAAAGTCCAATTTTGAACAAGTGCATGCGTTTTTCCGTCTTTTACAGCTTCCAGGTGTTCATTTACGTGGCGTTTATTTGGCTACTTTATTCATGCAAGGCGTTGAAACCGCATCGTTGGCCAACGATGCTTGCGGTGTACCGCTGCCATGGGTCATGACCAATCCATGGATTTTTTTCGATGGCAAATTGTTTCATTTCAAATTGAAAATGTCAACGTATGTTCCAACACTTCGTGATTTATGCGACAACCAAATCGATATCGTGCTCAAAATTGATCGCTTCCGTAAAGCCATTTTAGAGGATGTCGAACACTATCTTCTGCCAGCTCACATGGGTATGACCGTTTTTCTTTTCTTTCCCAACCTTATCGCTTCATTTTCTTGCCGCTTTTTATTTAAATTTTTGTTTCATCCACAGACCCATTGTATCGAGCCGGTTTCATTCAAAATGCTTCCATGCCACAAGCGTACGGCAAAAATCCAATTCATTCGATTGCAAACATTCCACAAATGGCCAATGGATCATCATCAGCGTACTACAACTCCGTCATTCAACATCAAGTGCAGCAACCACATCAGGGCTCACCGAACTACTTTGGCCATGTGTCTGGCCGAAATAATGCCAATCATCGGTTCAATAGTAAGGTACAACAACAACAGCATGAGGTAAGAAACTCCACACACTTCAGCCCATTTTTTTTCAATGAAAAAGCAAAGAGTTCTCCAAACGATCACGAAATACACAGTTCTATATTGCCGTTGAATCGAACATTTAATGATTTTTTCCACAGAATGTTTTTTTTTTTGTTGAAAATGACGCCATTCGATTAAAAATGAGTTTTTTTAATGAATTTTTTTTTTGTTTGTTTAAAAATCATTTCGGTTTTTGCTTTTTACAGCATTTAATGGGCGGCTATCAATTGAAAGTTGGTGGTGTTGTTGTGGGTTCATGGGCTGGTGGCAGCGTACCAAATCGTAACAGTGGGAATGGTGTGCAGGCACGCTTGAACCGTGCTGCCGTAGCAGCTGCATCTGGTGGTGCGGTTGCCTCGCATCTCATGCGCTATCCAATGAATCCACGTGGCCGGGTCGGTCCAGTCAATTTGCGTTTGCAACGTAATTTAGGCGCTGGACAGCATATTGCATCGTTGGGCCGAACCATTTCACGTAATACATACGGCAACAACAAAGTCAATCGACAGAGAAATCGCAATCGTAATCGCAAAAATGGTACGTTAATTGAAGATATTTAAATGCGAAGCTACTGTTGCCGGTTTTTTTTAAAATCATTAATATGAGACCGTTAATCATTTACAGATCGCAAGAATCAAAAACCGGCCACTGACAACCCAGAAAATGACGCTGATGAAACGAAGTCATCCGAATCAGATGCTGCCAAAGAGGGCCAAGATGCGGAAAATGGAAATGGGTAAGTGAACTACGGACTTTTATATCCAAGATAAGTACTGTTTTTTGCTTGGGGTAGATTTTGAATTGGTCCAAAATGATCTCCGGCCATTATGGCTCGCTAGATCGCACAAAATTAAGCCATGTACTACCATATACCCGGTTCGATAACTCCCAAAGGTCAGAAAAATTAGCACTTTTTTGTGGTAAATTTTCCCGAGATTAAAATTTGAAAATTAGTCCGAAATAGGTCGAAATCGTTATGGCTCGTTAGATCGCATAAAATTAACGATCTGGACCTACTTCGGACCAATTTTCGAAATTTTTTTCAAAATCTAGCCCGAGCAAAAACAGCACTTGTCATGGATATTATTAAATATGAAGTTTTAAAATTTTAGTCGAGTTCCTTCAAATTGAAGACGATTCACGCTTTTGGATTCTTCGAATGATCGAACTTTGAATTTATTCCAAACAAATAGATTATCTGCATCATCTTACACCAACAACCAAATTACAATTTTGAATTGATTTTATTCGTAAAATGTTCTATTATTCGGTTTGTTAACACCTAAACGTATCTCTTATTTTTCAATTTAGAACAACAAATCAAGCATCAAATCTCGCAAAATCGATGTGTCACGAAATCCTCAAAGAGGAAGAAGATGATGAAGTGTCATCGATTGATGATGTATTGAATAAAAAGCATGTGGACGATTTGCTGGACGAGCAAAATGGTAACATAACTGCCAAATTGACAAATTTAACGCTTAACGAAAATGCCACCGATGCAGCTGTTAACGGCAACACTATTACCAATGAAAGTGATGGTTTAGACACTACGACAACACCTACGACAATGATGACAAAAACGACGACGACGACAAAGAAAAAGTCAAAGAAAGGAACGAATAGTATTAAATTGCCGTCAACGGGCGTGGAATGCGATTCAAACGACAATAAATTGGACAATGACAGCACTGGAATTGCACAGCAATACAGCAATACAGGTGCTCTGGACGCAAGTGATGATCAGTCAAGTATCAAGGACGATGTGGTCGATGTGCATGCATAAATTGCACACAAACAACCATTATATACCATTGATCTAAAGTGTGAGTGGAGTTTGTTTTCCACTTTTTGGAATTATTAATATCCAAATGGAAATCTAACTAAAAATTTGGTTTTCCATTTCAATTGCAGTGTCTTTCAAAGTCAACACCATCTCAAACACAAAAGAAAAACAACCACAACAATCCATTTAATGATGTTACGAAAAGGAATACAACTCTCGATGTTCCCCTTCCCTCCAACAACCAGCAAGAAAAACACCTCATTTTTCCTCTAAATAATTTGATTTGTGAAGAACTCATCAAATTCAATTGATGCCCGAAAAAAAAAATTAAACAAATTATATCAAATCCAATCATATATACTAATCGCATGATTTAGTTTGCAGAAAATAACTCTAACATTTACTGAAAATAAAATTTAGCATCAAAGCAGCAAAAAAAAATGAGAATAAAATAGTGGAAAAAGCAAACGATTTAGTTAGAAAAGAGCGCAGAACGAAATGTTTCGTTTGAAAAAAATATCTATACACACACGCAGTTTGGGCACAGCAATACATTATATTTAGTCGCTTTTGAATTTAATTTTCATCTCTAATCAAAAAGTATAAAAAAAAATACAAGCAAAAGCATATATTTTATTTGCATGAAAATAAATAAACAACAACAATTATACTACACATAATAAAAATTTAACCGAATTATAGAATATTTGTGAATCCGATCAATAAAATTGAGATGGAGGAAAAAAAATGCAATGCTTTTTTCCGCAATAAATTGTCTTTTTGAATGGAAAGTGTTTATTGGAAACAATTTATTTTTTTCGGAAGAAGAAGAAAAAACTAAAGAGAAAAACAATCATTCGAATGCAATTTTTTTTCATTTTAAATTTTGAACATAGATTCTGACACCAAAAATTTCAGTAGGGTCAGACCAAAAATTCATGATGGGGTCAAAAAACAATTTGCAGGGTTTGCGAAAAGAAGTGAAAAAAAATCCTCACATTTCAAAAATCAATCAATTCTATCTAGTAAAAAATTGGTTTTGGGAACAAAAGTGAAGATCAGCCTGATCAGGATGCGTCAGAATCTACAAATTTAAAGGGAAAATCTGAATTATTCGAAAGAGAAAAAAGATTAACAGAAAAAAAAACAAAATTAAATAAAAATTATCGTGATGAAGCTTCGAATCCGTCGAATCCTTCATAATAAAAAAAGTCATATTTTCCATTTGAACGTTATAAACTAAACTAAACAAATCGATTATTCGAAGAAAAAAAAGCCTTCGAGTAAAGGAGAAAAAAAACATTGATAAAACAAATCCGAATTTCGATTGGTCAAAAGAGACGAATTAAATAAAAAAAAAAACAGAGAATCATTTCAGCATAGATATTCAGGTTACAGCTGAATTCTCAGTAACTGAATGCAGTGACTGTTTGCGTTGCTGTGAGTGAGCGGGCACTCTACATTCAAGCGCAGACATGCATATACATTGGTTTACACTTAATCGGAGTGAGTGTGCTTGCAAAGAGGAGAGAAGAGAAGAGAACGAACGAAATGTGTCGCATCGAGCGATGCTAGTGAATGTCCACTTGACACAGTGTCAGTATGGCGAATATTTACTCTTTATTTCTTCGAATTGTTGTTCCTGCTTCTTTTTCTTCTTACAAATTTGTCAACAGCACAAACGGAAGAAAAAGAATCAAATTTAAAAGTTAAACAGAACAATGTTTGATTATTGGTTTGTTGTGTTTAGTTTTGGAATTTAACTCTTTTGGTTGTGTTTGTGGTGCTAACAAATTTGTTAAAAGAAAAAGAAGAAGGAACGAACGATTCGAAGAAACAAATAGTAAGTATTCGCCACACTGACACTGTGTCAAGACGACGTTCACTCAAATCGTTCAATGCGACACATGTTGTTCGTCCTTTTCTCTTTTCTCCTCTCTCGCACGCATACTCAAAATTGAGTGTAAACCAATGTATATGCACGTCCGCACTTGAATGTAGAGCGCCCGCTTACTCACAGCGACGCACAGTGACTGCATTCAGTTACTGAGAATTGTAAACTAAATATCTATGCTGAAATGATTCTCTGTAAAAAAAAATGATCGGTTCAAAGAACCCAATGAATTTACCAATGTTGCTTCTTTACTTCAAACGTGATTTTTTTTAACTGTTTATTCTTCCGTTTCGCAACCTCCCTGTTTGAATTAGATTTAAATAGAAGATACCATACAATAAAAGTGAATGGAAGTAAAAACCGTATGAAATAAGGGATAACCATTGTTTAATAAGACATACAAAAAAAAACTGAGAGAATGAAAAAGGAGAGAAAAAAACAAGAATGGATTAAGGGCAATAAAATGACTCCTTTTTGCGTAAACGAAATACCATGAGCAAAAAGCCTTCGAGAGTAATTTTTTTTTTTTGCAAAAACAAATTGAAGTAACATGGAAAAAGAACGAATGAAAACAGAGCGAGAAAGGGAGAAAGAGGGAGAGAGAGAGAAACAGAGAGAAGGAGAGGAAAAATTCGACCGACAAATTGTAAATGTGAATGGTGCCTTCAAGGTCCGCAACCAAATGAAAAAAAGCGAATCATTTTACCATTAAGTCAATTCAGTTGAATTCAATCACCAAAATTGGCTGGATCAACTCTGTGTTGAAATGTCATTTGGTCACTCACAACTGGATGCGTATATTTGTTTGAAACCATCGTAAATTGTCAAAAAAAAAGCGTGAACAATTTTGAAGAAGAAAAAATTGAATAAAACGTAAAAATAAAACAAAATAAAGTGCTTTGAATTTTGTGAGAGTGTCAAACTGAATTTTACCGTATATTTACCGAACTGCGACGGTTCACTTTTTTTTTTTTTTAATTCGAGAGAGAATGTGTCAAAGAACAGAAAAAAAAATCGACGAAACGCTTGCAAAGGAAGAAATGACGAAAAAGAATCGAATAGAAGACGGAAACAGCATCATAAGGTTATGAAATAAAAGGCTCTACAATTGATTCACTGATATCAGTGTGTAGTAGTAGTGCCTGTACCAAATGTAACAGAGAAATATGCATTCGTGCCCGTTGCTTTCTGACATATATTCGACCGCTAGTAAAAATGATTAAAACAAACACCAAATATTAACACACAGTTTTCGATGAACACACAATTCGAAATGTGATTTATATAAGAGACGAGAATAAAACAAACAAATAATACTTTTACGCATGACATGGGCGTGCGGTAAAGTAAAAATCGGGGATTCGCAACTTGCGAGACAATAAAATTACGGCTTATTTCCGATTTTCGGTTTAAAAAAAAATAGCGAAAAAAAACCCAAACAGAAATCGGTTGGCGGAAATCAAACAGCCACACAACTTCTTGACTTGAGAATCAATACGAACCAAATGCGTATGAAGAATGAATAAAATTACGTGAGAGAAGAGAAATAACACAAAAAAATATAAGAGACCAAGTCTGTGATGTTATGAATATATTTTTGTATATTTACTTGTTAAATATTGTTACGACGTAATGAAAAAAAAAACTGAGAACACTAAGAAAGAATATAAGGATAAACAAACACACGCATTTACACAGAATACACACAAAACAGCAAAATAATAACGATTTATTGAAACAATATTATCGAGAAAAATCGAGATACAATGAGATAATGACATGCGAGGTAACAGGAAGTAAAAAGGAGAAGAAGAAAAAGAGGAATCATGGACACGGCAAACCGTTTAAAAGAAATGAACGTGAAACCACAACACAATACATTATATTTAGCAAATCGAATTCAACGACAATACTTCAGCACATACAAATGGTGAGAAAAACAAATCAGGCCGCAAATTATCGAATCCAATTTCCCTGAAAACTGGCCAAAGTGTGGCAATTTAAATGGATTTTCAGGAAATGCCCTTCATTGACCTCTTTGCCCTTCATTGATTACTTGAATGAAATCCTCCATTCTTCATATCCTTAATAAATTCGAAAAAAAAACCTTTGATTTTTCCAAAACTGAATCTCTTTGCGCATAAATCTTTAGCAAAATCTAAAACCTTTGAAAATATTCCCAAAAACAGAGGCAATCAATTGTCATCATTACTTCCGCCTGAACCAATTGTGCATAAATTGCAACAGAATGTTCGATGACGATAGAAAAAAATCACCTCGTGATCGATGTGTGTGTAAAATTGTGTTTTTCTACATTTAACATGTGACTCATCGCTTTGGCCATGTTTAATTGGCCCAAGTGTGTATTTGTGATCGCGCTACCACTATTGTTAAGGTTTACACATCCGAATGTTACAGCAAAAACAAAAAAAAAACAAAATGCTTTGATTGCGTTCAATGCAAACCGAGAACAGAAAACAAACCAATAACAATGAGAACCATTCATTGCAAGCCAATTCGAGGCGAAATGTGTGTTATTGTATACATTAGAAATTTAAGTGAAAATGTTAAATAAAAAAAGAATCAATGTTATGCGAATCCGATGGCACCACTGTCGATGCGATATATGCGGTAAAATCCGATCGATTGAATCTCATTGAAATTATTCACACTGACTGCCTCGAACAATGAGAAAATACCGAAGCTGTTGTTGCAAACTGAGTATTGCATCAGAATCATTCAACAATACTCAGCGTTGATTTAAATCGATGATTAAATGTTGAAATTTGATAATTTTCAAAAAGGAATACAATGGAAAAACTGGAACTTTTTTCACTCCTGTTCGATTCACCGGATAATGTTTTGGGAAAATCTATGTTTTGATCAATATCAGTTGGATTGTTGGGGATTTTTTTTTTCAGGTATGAATAATCGGAATTCGTGCACGGGGCATTGCCATTCAGAATTCAAATTTCGGGGCAACTCAATGCATTGGGACGGCAAAAAGGACGATTTGCATGAAGCGGCACTGCTTTCGATTCGAAAGCATATTCGAAAGTTTCGAACAACATCCAGATCCGGCGCCGTGCTTGAATTCATTCACCTTCTGCAGTCAATAGGTCATTAGCGTATTTTTATACGAAAATCTCGATCAATAATCCATTTTTTATCAAAATTTAAGCCATTCTTATCAAGAAAATGACGTGACAAATCGTCGTTTAAGCACAAAACATGCAACTTTTGTCAATAAAAAGTAGCAAATCGAGTCTTTTTGCCAACCGAAAATAAACACATCTGTTTCGACATGCAAATTATTTTGAGTCAATCAAATAATTTTACCCAGAAATGGAGTAAATGTATATCAATTCATTGTATTGTCTATACTGCGTACAAACCGGTATATATACATGCATTGATATACCTTTGCGTTAAATAACGCGTTCGCTGTCACTAAAGTATTGGCTAACGTGTGCTCTCAACGCAAAGGTATACGTTTAAGTATATACCGATACACATTTCCATACACTTGCGGTAAACGATGAACCATCTCTGATTTTACCCAAGTAAAACCATCAATGAGACCAACAACCAAATATTTCCAAAACATCTATTGACTTGTCCAAAACAAAAGCATTGTCCAGGTGATGAGAGCAGAAGAAATAACATTTTCTTCTCTGACAAAGAAACAAAAACGAAAAACTGCGGGCAATTTTAATATTCACTCGCAAATGGAAACGAAGCTGGAAATTAAAAAAAAAAAAAAAACAAAAAACAAACGGCTACAAGTACTGAATTGGAGACTCTGGTCTAGAGTTTTCTGTGCCGAATAAAATTAACGACGATAATCGATGTTGAAATTCAGACAAAAATAAAATAAACTGCTTTAGAAAGCGTAAGTCATTTGAAACAAACGACCATTCGAAAAAGCAAAATGATGAAAAAGAAAATATTTGTTACGTGAGCCAAATTCAAAACTAATTTTCCCAAGAAATAAATCAATCGAAGAGACAAGAAGAATGATGAACAGAAAGTGAATTGAATGAAAAAAAATGGAAAATATTATTTAACACTGTCACGAACAAGCAAACCAAAAAATGTCATTGCAAAACTAAAACAAAAGCGAAAAAACATGAAAAATACACAAAGAAAATAGAAAATGCTCATTGAACGTTGAGATAAAAATTTAAAGATGAGGCATTTTGTTTCACCGCACAGGTTTAAAATGAGACAGGATCGTTGTTTGAAGTGTCACAACACAGATATTTGGTCGAAAAATTGTTGACGAAAACCAAATCGATACGAAATACGATATTTCTTTTCAAAACACACACATACAGTACGAGTTTTTAAATACAAAAATCAAATGGAAAAAAATAAAATAATGAAGTAAAAAAAATTAAAAATATTTCGAAAATCAAATGCGATTTCCGTTAGATGTCAAACAGAACAAATAGAGAAATAAATAGAAAAGTCAATCAGAATGTAACTTGATTTGATTCAGAACTATTAGCCCTTCGCTTTAGCCCTATTAGCTACCCTCGAAAATACACACGATTTCAATGTTTGATTAAATACACGTACAGTGTATGACGTACACAATGCACGAGAATTAATCTAAATCCAATCGAAATTGAACCAGATTGAAACGTCTGCCCTTCGAAAGCATTTAGTTTGTGTTAAAAGCATGAATAGGCTTGAGAATTATGACCCGAAAACTAGCTTCTTCTACCCCAAACCCATTTCAAGAAATTTTATTTACCAAAAAGAAAGTACGAGCTATCATTTCAAATTCAAACGAAACAGAAATTAAAATCAATTGTTTGTCATTTGAATAAGAGAGAAAAAGTTCAAGGGTGAATAAAATCATGGCTTAAGCCATGGATAGAATCATTACCGAACGAAACAAAAATATACCGTTGTAGTTTAGTTTGTTTAGCCGAAAAAAGCCGTTTTGTTCAACACAGACGAGAAATTCGAATGGTATGTATCACATAGTCGGAGGCTTCGACTCGGGGCAAGCATTAAAACCGCATTAAATATGGTCAAGAGATAGATGAAGTGAAAAAGAAATTAATGTGCGTAGTGACACAGACGCAACAAATTAGTAGTTTAAAAAAGGAATAACAAAAAACAAAAGTATCTAATCAACAGCGAAATAATCAAACATAAATGTTCAGAACAGAAAAAAAATTGACAAAAAAAAATCGTGCATAATAAATAGATTTAAAAAAAAATTTATTCTCAGAATAGACACACACACACACACATAGTAATCAACAAAAAGACTAACTTGTTTTGCATGTTTCGTTTTTTTTAGTATCCACAGATTTAATTCTTAGTTGAAATGATGAGAGCTCTGTAGCTTTTCTATCGCTTTTTTGTTTTTTCACACACAAACCCACACACACATATATATACGTATATTTTACGACGCAGTTACAGTGCGCAATGAATAGGCCGTGTGTTAGATTCTAACACTGTTAGAAACAGGAAACATGGACAAATATCAAGACCGAAATTTTGCCAGAAGAAGAAAAAAAAATACAATAGAAAATGTATATCAGTAAATGAAATAGTTGAATGGTCATAGTAGAATCGTTTCAATTGGAATTTCGACCGTTATCAAATTTTGCATGATTTTTAATTCAGGATTTTCAAACTCTTCAAAAAAACTTAAAAATTTCCCATTTTAAAAGTGAGAATAGGAACTAAATATTCGCTTTTCTTGGAAAAATGAAAAATTCTCTCCATTTTTTTTTTTGCAAAAACAAGAAAGAAAGAATCGAAAGCATGACAAATCTGTTTTTAAAAATTGAAAAAATCCTTCCAAAAGAGCAACAAAATCATTCATTATTTGCCAAGTGTTCGATTTTCCATACAAATACCCAAGACAATTGACATTCTTTTACTCGGAGCAGATTTTGAAAAATTTCAAAAATTGGTTTGAAATGATTCCAGGTCATTATAGGCCGTTAGATTAGGCCATGTACCACCATTTAGCTCCGAAAAGTGGAATAAATTTGCATTTTCTTCAAAACTTACTCGAGAGTAAATCTGGCGTGAATCTAACGACCCATAATGTCCTGGAATCATTTCAGACCAATTATTGAAGTTTTTCTCTCGAGTAAAAAAACACCACTTATCTTGGGTAAAAATGTTTGGTTTTTCGAACTCTTAATGGGTTAAAACGGAGAAAGGAGACAAACAATTCTTTCCACTGACTTCAAGGAAAAAAACTATCGATTGGCCAAAAATGTTGACGATAATGACAACACAAACAAAAAAGCAGCCGTAAAAATTGCACTAACTTCAAATCTAACACTAACCTATTGTCTAATTTTAATTTTCAAATTACCCTCCCCCATTTTCTAATGATTAAGTCAAAGAAAAAAATATTTAAACGAATTGCAGAATTTAGAGTGTTATTAATAACAATAGAAATGAATATGTATGAAATAATGAGTTCAAAATGAGAAATTAAGAAAAAAAACAAAGTATAAAAAAATCGCATATTTAGCAAAATCCCTGAAAAGTAAATCAACATGTAGATTTCGAACACTGTATTGCCTTTCTTGGATATAATAATAATGATATAGAGTTAAATGCGCCAAATATCTGAAACAAGCGCAGCCTTTTGGCATTTTTTTCTTTGGCTCTCCAAATGAGATAATTTTAAAAATAATCGAATCTTCACAGTTTGAAATAGAGCTATCGTCAAAAAGTTATAATAAATTCAAAATCGTTCACACAAAATCTTCTTCGAACATCACATTAGAAAATACTTTTAAAATTCATTCGATAACAAAGAAAACGTTTCTTCCGCTTGTTTCGGCAAAAAAATTTCACCCTCTATGAATCCGTTAAAAACAATAACATTGTCCCCCATTAAAAAGGAAGAGAGAAAAAATAACACCGTTTTTAGAACCGAAATGGTATAAGTTAAAGCCCCGTCATATGCATTAATATAAACATATATTCAGAATTTAAACACACACAAAAGTAAATGGACACCAAATACAAAACGGCAGTCAGAACTCGTATTCAAGAAGAAAAAAAAAATATGAAAAAAATAAACAAAAAAACAACAATTACAAAATGTATTCGGATTTTATAAAACACATGAGAAACGATTAAATAAAATTCATTGAACTTATGTCTTTATTGTGGGCGTTTCATTGAACAAATGCATTTTTTTGGCAGATTTTGTATTTTCAGGATTTTTGAAGAGTGGAACTTAAGTGAATTTTGGTGACGATTATTCCAACTGTGTTCGGATTGTAAAAAAAACACTCTTTGTATTTATTCGAAATTCGGATCCATTCTAAAAAATCCTTAAAATAATCCATGACGTATAGAATACTCTGACTTGGCGTGATATTGTGCAATCAACGAGAATTTACATTTCGAACGACTAAATCATCCATAATTCCCAATGAAATGTGAAAAATGAAATTTAACGGGCGATTTTGAATTGGGCTCCGAATTTGCTCAAAATAGAGCTATTGATTGACACAAGTGTGATAAAAGTTACCAATACAAATGAACGCAAGCATGGCAGCAACGAAGCCGCTAGTTGTGGTGCTGAGTTTGCTAGAATATTCGGAGAGTCACACAGTGAGGCAGACATTTTGGAAGACGACACGCAAAGAAAAATCAATTGAATTTTCAGCAGAAAAAAGGCATCGACGGACGTAAGTGGTGAATATTTTTCATTTGCTTCGATTTTCAGCTCAGAATATCCGCCATTCTGTTGTGAAAAAAGTAGAATGAATAGTATTTTATGCGAATTCTCAGAAATGGCCTAAGACACAAGTGTACATATTTTGTGTATAGTTTTTTCTTTGCCATACATGCGACAAACACGTGTTTTTTTACATTGAGTTGGTTCATTTGTTCGTGTGTTTTATTTTTATTTTTCTCTTGATTCCATTAGGAAATGAACCCGTTCAAAAGTGGTGCTGATCGACGCTGCAAGCGAAAGTCAAAGTCGGGAAAGGTTGAAATCAAACAAGAGCCGGCGATTAAGGAAGAGCCCAATGGTGATGATGATGTCATAAACATACCTCGGCCAAGAGTTGATGGAAGATATCGTGCGAATCACGAGGGACCGTTCGACTTTGGCTTTGACTTCGATGAGGTAAAGGATGAGACCAAATGTGAAGAAGAAGAAGAAGAGACGGGCAAAGAGAAGGACTCGCAACCATGTGGACGATCGAATGAGAGCGCCGCCAACGATGAAGACAACGAACAGCCTATGGGTGATGCAATCGATGTGCAACAATCGAAACCAGTCGGTAGTGGGAAGAAACGGAATGGAAGCTCCAAAAGACGGAACCAACGAACGATTCCCAGGAATCAAGCGGCCAAAAATCCAAAGAAGCACAAATGTCATGTGTGCAATCATTTGGCATGTGACAACTTTGACCTCAAAGTACACTTGCGCACTCATACTGGAGAAAAGCCGTTTCAGTGTGATGTTTGTTTGAAGTCATTTTCCAATCATAATAATCTGAACAGGCATAAGAAAACGCATGGCCAATTCCATTGTTCACAATGCAATCAAGGATTTGAACAAGAATCAGCCAAGATCGATCACGAAAGGCTCTGTAGTCGCCAGCAATTCGAATGCGACATTTGCGGATATAGTGCATTGCAAAAACAACATTTGACAGTTCATATGCGGATCCACACCGGGGAAAAGCCGTTCGAGTGCACAATTTGTTTCAAATCATTCATAACAAACGCTAATCTTCAAAGACATTCCATGGCGCACAAAGATGAACTGCCGAATGCTTGTGCGGAATGTGGTCGACGATTTGCCACTCCGGACGATAAGCAATCACACGAAACGAGCTGCCAACGAAGTCCGTTTGCATGTAATCAGTGTCATTACAAAACTGTTTACAAGACTCATTTCAAGCGGCACATGCAATCAAAACATGGAGCTAAACGGTCGATCGAATGTGAATTTTGCGGAAAATAATTCGTTCAACACATGTATTTAAATCAGCATTGGTTCACAGCACACAGTGACCAATTCCCGTTCCAATGCTCCAAGTGCTTCGGAGGATACGCAACCGAAGGTGCAAAAGAGGTTCATGAAGATAGCTGTGGCCACCGTCAGTATCAATGCCATTTGTGCAAAGAACTGTCTCGTTCCAAACATTCCAAACAAATGTTGACGATTCACATGCGAAAAGATCACACCGGAGAGCGGATTTAATGCAAAGTATGTGTAACAAGCTTTACCAACAGAAGTAATGCCAATAAACACATGAAAAAAGTTCACCGTTTGAAGAAGAACAAGGTCACACATTCCATAGATTTGTCAAAGTGTAATCGACATTGAAATCAATTCCTTCAACCCAAATAATAATTTCATACAGAATTTCATTTTAAGAAGATTCAATATTTTCTAACGTAAAATACGCTTGGTTAGATCTTTAGATTTAAGCTCCCATTTGTGAATGAAATAAAACCGAAATAAATTTGAATCAAGATAAAAGGAAAGAGAAGTCTTCTCCGTTACAAAGATAGTCGTCCTTGATGTTATGAGTTTATTTTCGCAGCATTTTTATAGTAATACGACAAAAACACGAATGGCTTATGAAACAAGTGTGATGCATTGATAAGATCAACTCTGCAAGTTGAACAAGTCATCGACAATCGAATTTTGTTCGTTTTTTTGGATAAGGTTCCAGTTTCAAGGTTCATATCGTTTGTAATTCTCATTATTCAATCGTTTGATTCGAATCGATTGAGACACGTTTTTCTGCTTCTTGCTGAGTTTTCAGAAAATATCACAATATTTCGGATGTGTTCTATTAAACGCGGCCGGAAATATTGAGCAAAAGACACTGGACCATCTGAAATGCAAACATTTTCCTCAAAACCAAAACATTTTAAGTGTTATATACATGTCATATCGTTTCTGGTGTTTCTTCTGCTCCATTTCATGTCAATTGACGTAAAAAAAGCATGTTAATCCGAAAAACATTCAAATTGACTTCGGTTGGCTTGGAAACTATGCCGTTCGAGATACAGACTAACTGTCGATGAACATCGCATCAATGCTTCAACCCGTGCGATTTGGCTCTGAGTGAAACACGTACACGCACACGCACACACGGCTTCGTCAATAAATCATCGAATGAAATTTGACTCCAAACTGATTGACATTTGAATGCTCTGGAGAAAGAAGCGTATTTTGTGCTCGCCCAATTGAAGTGGAAGTTGGAATTAATGAATTTTTTTCTCCAGAGAACATAGAAAATGTTGACAAAATTAAATGTTGATTTCAAAAGATTTTTCAAAAGTAATTTGGATTCGAAACAGATAAATTGTACAGGAGTTCAACCGATATTTTTGAATTGAGCTCTGAATTTGCTCAAAAGAGAGCTACCAATCGAGATAAAGTGTCACTTTGCGTCGTTGAGAACTTAACGAAACTCACCAACACAAGTTGCTCGCTTGCGCATGTGTAACTTTTAGCTTTGATGCTGATGATTGCGTTGTACGTTGTTCTAGATTGTTCTATCAGCCACCGAGTGAGGCAGACATATTTAAAGATACGCGAGAAAAAAAATATTTTCAGCAGGAAAAATCGGCGACAAATGTAAAAGCTAAATATTATTTATTTATTTATTAATTTGCATGTCAATTTTTGAGAATTAAATTGTGTGATTCGTTCATAAATATGGAAATCATAAAAATCAATCGATGCTCATAAAATTTGGTAATACATAACCCAAATTTCGAGCTTATGCACTCATTGCACATGTTGTTGGTACTTTTTCTTTGCATGGACACGTCAAGCACGTGGTTTGCACTTAATTGAATCACCTTTCATTATCATTGACTTATCAATACTGTTTAAATTTTGATCATCGATTTTTGTAATTGTTCTGCCGAATCCAATAGGAAATGAACACATTCAAAGGTGTTTCTGGTGGACGAAGAAAGCGTAAGTCAAAGCGCTTAAATGTTGAAATCAAGCAAGAGCCGACGATTAAGGAAGAGCTCAATAGTGATGATGACGTCATGAACATACCACGGCCGAGATTTGATGGAAGATATCGTACGAATTACGAGGGACCGTTCGACTTTGGCTATGACTTCGATGAAGTAAAGGATGAGATCAAATGTGAAAAAGAAGAAAAAGAGACGGGCAAAGAAAAGGACTCGGCACTTTGTAGACGATCTAATAAGAGCGCCGCCAACGATGAAGACAACGAAGAGCTCATGGGTGATGAAATCGATGTTCGATCACCGCAACCAGTCGGCAGTGGGAAGAAACAGAAAGAAGGCTTCAGAAGACGAAACAAACGAACGATTCCCAGGAATCAAGCGGCCAAAAAGCAAAAGAAGCACAAATGCCATGTGTGCAATCATTTGGCATGTGGCAAGTATGCACTCAAAATACACTTGCGAATTCACACTGGAGAAAAGCCGTTCGAGTGCTCAATTTTTTCTAAATCATTTGCAAGAAACGCTCATCTCCGAAGACATTCAATGACTCACAAAGATGAACTGCCGAATGCTTGTTCGAAATGTGCCCGACGATTTGCCACTCCAGACGAAAAGCAAAAACACGAAACGCGCTGCCAACGAAGTCTTTTTGCATGTAATCAGTGTCATTACAAAACTGTTCAAAAGGGTCATTTAAAGCGACACGTGCAATCAAATTACGGAGCAAAAAGATCGATCAAATGTGAATTTTGCAGAAATGAATTCACCAAAAAGTTTTTTTTAAATCAACATTTGTCATCAACACACAGCGACCAATACCCATTCAAATGCTCCAAGTGCTTCGGAGGATACGCCACTGAAGATGCAAAAGAGGGTCATGAACATAGCTGTGGCTACCGTCAGTATCAATGCCATTTGTGCAAAAACTATCGCCGATACAAACATCATTTGGAGACACACATGCGAAAAGTTCACACCAGAGAGCGGATTCAATCAAGGGGGAAAGTACTAGATTTGTATAATTCAAGTAATGCGATCTAGTACAAAAATAATCCCAAATAATCCTTCGGAATTCTCCATAATTCTCAATAATGCGCAATAATGCTATGCATAATGCCAATAAACAAAAGTGAAATACAATTATGTTTAGCTATTGGGTGTTGGTATTATGCATAGCAATATTGAGCATTATTGAGAATTATGTAGAATTCCGAAGGATTATTTGGGATTATTTTTGTACTAGATCGCATTACTTGAATTATACAAATCTAGTACTTTCCCCCTTGGATTCAATGCATGGTGTGTGCAGCAAACTTTGCCAAAAAAAGTCATGCCGATCGACACTTGAAAAAAATTCACCGCTTGAAGAAAAAATAAGTCACCATTCCATAGATAGTAATTAACTTTGAAAAGAATTTCTCATGATTCTGTTAAATAGACCCATTGATAAAATTAAATACAGTTAAAACACGCTTTCAATTTAAAAATCCGAGATCAGTTTCAAATAATTTTTTGTTTTTTTTTTTTACCGCAAACAATCCATCAATACCACTTTTTGAAGAATTGCACGAGGAATTCAGTGCAAAAAACACTGAACACATACAATCAGTATGTCGACAAAATGAAATCAAACTTGAAAAGTGATCCATCTTCGTTTTGGCAATATGTTAACTCTAAAAAGAGCACTGATAACGAACGTGTATTACATTTGGGATAACAAAAGCAAAACGACTATCTTCATGGGACGAACCACCAACCCAAATTAGATGCAATCTTAAGGAATTGTATCAAGAGAAATATATTTTCATGAAAAAAGCTGAAATTCATGAAAAACCATAAATAAAAGATCAAAATAAAATAACTCTCCCTTGAGTTGATCAATCGAATCCCCGGCAAATTTTCAAGCTTTTGGCTTCTGTGAATGATGGCACTTTTTCACTTGCTAAAAATTACATTTCTTGCATCCAAAAAAAATAAATAATCAAGTGAAATTAATCGTTCAATATGTTTCTGAATCTCGATCAAAGAGATGAATCTCTTAGCATGTATATGAATTTTTAAATGCTAAAACACAGTCTTCATCAAAAAAAAAATTTAGAAATCGAATGTTCAGCAAACTAAAATTTTCTTAGGGAGAAAGAACTATTGGTATATTTGCTCTATTGACGAGTATTGACAATTACACTGCGTTCCGTAGTGATGACAATGAAAATCTAAAAATCTTCTAAAAAATGAATTCAGTTTCTTCATATTTTCATCTTCAAGACAATTGAATGAGCATAATGAAAGAACTATGAATGAATTTGATTCCACGAAAAAGTGGCTCATTTTCGTTTCATCTGATAAGTAAACTTAGTAAATTAGGCCTTGAAGTCGCGATCATCTATCATCGATCAATCTTCAATTGAAAAACCAATTCCTTTTAATTATCGCATTTATCTCTAGTTTTATGTTCTATTTTCATCCGATAGATATGGAATGGATGTGATTGGAACGGTGGGCTTTGGCTTAGATGTGAATTCAATCGATGATCCAAATTATTCATTCCGTGAAATTGAAAAACAATTTAGCAATGGGGGTTTTATCAATCGCATACGGCTGATTGGAGCTTTCTTTTGCCCAAAGTAAGATACTATTCATCTGTTCTATTATCATTCGTTTTCATGCACATCGTCATCAACTTGGTTTTATTCATTGTTTCAACATTTGATTTCAACGTACCGTTACGCACAACTTGATTGACACTAATGTAATTTTTAATTCAAATGTAATCTTTGTTATAGACTCCTCGAAAGTCTGCGAATGTCGTCGATGTCGCAGCAATTCCAGGACTACATGGTTGGAATTGTGAAAGATACAATGGAATAT